AATGTGCTGCTGAACTCTGGTACTCTTCTTCAGCAATGGTTGCTTCGTACTAGCATAAACATTGAAGAATTAAGACTTCGTTACTTGGAAGCAGAACAGATGAGAATGGTTGACGAACGGGAGCTGCAGGCTGGAACCCATACTGGAACAGATGAACTTGGCCCTCCCGGTAAAATCTTCTTTCCAGGTAGTCACAAAACCTCTCCGGTGTATTGGCGACAAAAACGACTGGATGTGCAAGCAATGGTAGCTCGACTGGGCTCTCCGACGCTTTTCGTCACAGTCAGAATGAACGTATGGCAGGAAGAGATGAAAAGGCTTAGTATGGACAACTAAGACACCGGAGCATTTTCTCCACAGGGAGACAGAAGCCGTACTTTTGATAGGCCAGATATTATTGCAAGATTGTGCAACTAGTATGCAAATTCAATCATGAAGGATCTACAGAATAGTTCAGAACTGCTCGTTGGCTTGAAATGCATTGGGATTGCCGTCAAACTTGAGTTCCAGGAGAGAAATACTCCACACCAGCATATTCTTCATTGGTTGTAGGTGGGCGTAATTGAAAATCTTGAGATCATTGACAATTTGATCAAAGCCGAAGTGCGTCGGGTGACTCGGCTGGGGACCAGGAACTCCAAAAAATGGTGAAGAAAATTAATATGCACAGACACTCTCCATATTGCTGTGGTCGTGACTCTGACAGGAGGTGCAGATTTGGGTATGATCGAGAACAAATTGTGGCTGAAACAATGATAAATGAGTACAAAAACCGAATGAACTACCGAAGAAGAAGGACAGAAGATTTGAAAGGGGTTCTCTACAATCCAGATCTCACAATGAAGTACAACGCTCACATCAATGTTGAAAGAATACAAGGTGGCAGCGCTGTAGCATCCCTGATCACGTATGCTTTCAAGAGTGCCAAAAAACAGGATTTGGTTGTATCGAGTCGAACGAAAAGCCAATCAAGTGCACAGAGCGATATGCTTCAAAGTAACATCAGGTCGTACATGAGAGCAAAAGTGGTGGGTGCAGTTGAAGCTGCATGGAACCTATTTGAGTTCAGCCATGTTCACATCAACCCAACTGTACAGGAAATTGACATACATATCCGTGGAGAGTGACAGGTTTTGATTCGAAACGTAAGACTGCCTAGGCGTCTGAAGTCTTCCCTGCTGGAAAGATATTTCAAATGACCCTCCCATTACATGGAATTGGACTACATGACATACAACAAGACTGTACGTGTATACGGTAAGCCAGCCCGCTCTGTACCATAATCTGAATCTACTAGTGATGGAGGACGTCCACGAATGTACGTCGTGCAACGATCCGAAAATGATCGAACTGGGACTCGAATTAGATTTGCTTCTCCAGCAAAACCCGTAACTTGGCTCTTCGAATATTGCTCATGAACTCTGCATTCAGCGCCTTTGATGATCCGAAACGTGTTGAGAGCGAATTCTGCTCCCTTATAGAGAATCGGCAGTAGCCCGTGGACTAAATATCCTGGTGACGAGTACGAAACGCCTTTTTATGAGACAGTAAGATACAATTCTACTTCTGTTGAGCTGCGTTACTTGGTCGTCACTTCTTTTCAACAAGGGATAAATCCTAAAACTGTGATTAAAAAGCACGAACGAGCTCGAACTGCAGATTTACAAGAGAGAAACAGAGCACAAAGAAGAGAAGAACTAATTCGAAGAATGATTGAGATTTAGAACAGACATGGCGGTCCGCTTATCACAAATGATCCCTTCTTTCATCATACTGTATCAAAACTTCATCTCAGAGCGAGCGAACTGCAATTAGCAGAGAAAAGAGCTGATATACGTCGCAGCTCTTCTTCGAGGTCCAGGCAAATGTTAAAAGAGCAATATGATGGTCTGAAAGAAGGCCAGAAGCAATATGTCGACAACATAATGAGAGAAATACAATACCGAGAGAGAATGGGAGAGTCCGAAGGACTGAAAACAAACGAAAGCGTTTTCTACTTACAAGGGCGAGCGGAGACAGGGAAGACCTATCTCCAATCTTTGCTGAGAGATGTTGTTGAGCACGAAGGCCTATTGGTGCAGATGAAAGCCAGTACATGTATTGCTGCTGCCCTATGTGAAGGCGAAAGAACTTTGCATAGTTTTCTAGGATTGGGACTTGATGAAAACAAAGATTCGCAAAGTAAAGATCGTCAGGCACTTTCCAAGCAAGGAACACGATCGCGGAGAGCAAAAATAGTAAAAAAGACTGTTTTGCTGGTAATTGATGAACTTTCAATGTGCTCGAAGATGCTCTTCGAGATTATGAACACCGTACTGAAGGACTTAAGAAACTCTACGAAAGACTTTGGAGGCATGGTCGTAGTTATGGGAGTCGAGTATATGCAACTGCTTCCAGTCGTTACAAGAACGAGAAAAGTGTCCTAAAGAGATGAAACAATTCATGTTTTTCCAGTGCGTCTCCTACAGAAGCCTCCATGGTACTCTTGTGGGCTTCAAGACAGAAGAGGTAAAGTTCTCCGTCCTAAAGAACAGGTTCGTCAACATGATGACCCAGGTTTTGGGAAAGGTTTGCTTATTCTTGGTTGTGGGACGTTTCCAGCATCCGCAAGGCTTCCACTCATGTCTACGTCACATGTAAACGATGCATAAAAGTTGCTGTAGAAATGGTTTACAACATGAATGAAAGAAGATATGAAGCTCAACCGATTGATTTTTGTGCCAACGAATCAAGTAGTGGAAGATCATAACCAAAAGTTATTAGAGTATTTCCCAGGAAGGATGTTTGAATTGAAGTCTGCAACGACGAACGTTCCCAATCGAGGGCCAACCAGTGAAAATTTTCATACAACTAGTGTCATTGGACTTAAACGGACGTATCATCACGCCCCAACTGCAGTCCCACACCATCATTTGAAACTGAAGTTAAGTGTTCTTGTTATGGTGATCCGAAATTTGCATCATCCGCAATTGCTGAATGAATAAGTTTTAGTCGTTACCAGCCTTTCTAGCAGATTGATTCAACTTTCGGGCACCGATAAATATAGGGAAATTTAGAAAAGCCTTTGAGTGAGCTGTATAGACGTTATGTATGAGTTTGCAGATGTGAAAATATAACATCGACAGTTTTCTATCTTATTGGAATTTGCAGTAAATTTGCATAAAGCGCAAGGACCAAAGCTGAAGGAAATGATATTTTGACTTTCGAAGAGACTTCTCTTTGCTGCGTCTAGTTTCTATTGTAATGTTGCGTGTTAGAACATCTGATGATGTGTCACTGTTCAAACTGAAGAGAAGACGCCCCGAAATGCACAAGATGTCCATCCAATGCCAGTAAGCATTAAAAACTCTGTTCTACAAGAAGCTGTAGACTTTGCAGAGGGGCGTCATTACTTTGACATAGTTTAGTTTTATGCGTAAACCAAAATTTGTGCGGATATTTTATGCCAACTTTCGGCCGCAGCGCGAAGCGCCGCCTGCGGCCGAAGGCCACTTTCCTTGTCTAACCTAACTAAGGATTTGTGCGACACTTCGCACCCCTTAAAAAATAAGTAAAATGCACGATTTCGTTATTTTGGAGCAAACTGCGTCAGCACCCAAAATCGTGCTTCATGTTCATGTTTTGAGTCTTTTGGTACGCCAACTCTTTGCACCAATGATAATCAAACGTCTTGGACAACCAAAACGTTTGATTCTCATATTTATCACCGCTCAAGCTCCGGCCCTATCACTATTTTTTGCAGGCAAGATGCAGACGTCACAACTGCAGGAAAGAATGGTAGGGCGGCCCTACCACTCTTTCCTGCAGGAAAGATGCAGACATCACAACTGCAGGAAAGTGTGGTAGGGCGGCGCTACCACTCTTCCCCGCAGGAAAGATGCAGATGTCACCACTGCAGGAAAGAGTGCTAGGGCCGAAGGCCCTTCTTACCCTTGTATTAAGATAAGGTTTGTGAAGAAATAACTGTGTTGGCCGCTACTTCAAGGAATTACTGACGGGCTCGAAGACATTATTTCTCTGAGTGAAGCAGAGGTATCTTTAGCACAGTCGTGTTGAATGCACATAATGCGTGAGACGTATATGCGCCTCAGTTGTAGGTGACTGATATTGTAGGTAGCAGGTAATGGTAGATATACCTGCACCGCGGGTTTGAGAGATGTTATCCAAAGTACGTGCGTGGCGTCAACCCAACAAAACGTATTTTACGTTAGAGAAGCTGCTCAAATGAGGCAGAATAAGTAACCGATTTTAACTGCGGAATCTGAATCCGGAGGCGTCTTCAGACGGACCTCTGAGGTGGTGTGCCTGTTCCTGGGCCTGGCGTCCCGAGCAACTCTTCCATAGCTCGACTACCCGCTCACGTCTCATTGTCCTGACCAACACGTTGGCGGTTGGACATACGCCATATCTACATTCCTTGAGAACATATTTATTGAAGCGAAGATTGGTGTGCAGATGTAGATCGGGAGTATTGAATGACGTGGACCATTGTGTTCTCAGATGCCTCTTGAGAGGCTGGTCTCGCAGACTGGGCTTGCCGAGTTTGCGTGAACGACAAGGACTTGGAGTACACGATATCATCCGAAAATGGTCTGAACGAATGCTGGTTTCCCTCGCGAGAGAGCGCTACTTTGATTTGAAACACTCTGCGCTACGTAGCAATTAAACTAGTGTACCCATAAAAGAGAGAGAGATGTTGAGTACGAAGCACTTTTTTTTAGGAATTTGAAATAGGCAGACACCTACAAGACACACGATCGTGGAACTTGGGGACTGTATCGCTTGTGATGAATACTTCCAAAAGGATATAGGCTGCGATGTAGCCAATGCGATCGTAGAATAATCCGAGACGGCATACCCTTCGCAAGGAGGTGCATCCGTGCTTAGCAAACCATGCTGGCAATGTCCCAGTAAGATGCCCTGTTTGACTGTTCTGCAAGCAAGAACGCTGATATTTGAATCATCCTCTTCAGATCGTGCTTGGCGACCGTGGCATGCCGTTCCCGTTGGTCTAGTGGTTACAGTGCTGCGAAGGATGTCCCGCTTTCACCGGGAAGACCGCGGGTTCAAACCCCGCACGGGAAGACTAGCTATTCGTTTTCGTTTTCGTTTTTGTCCTAAGTTTTGTGGTTTCTAATAAGCTCCCACACGTGACCACGATTTACACGTGAGTCAGAATAAAGGGCGACTCGCGCTGTCGCGAGTTGCAACTTCGTGTTGCGTCTTGCGATGAGCTTCCAGTTCGGCACTTCGACTGAAACGCGCGTCGCAACCGTCGCATTGCAGACGCGCTCCTTCGCGATGAACTGTGCGCACATGCTTTTCCAGATGCGATTTTTGTCCGAAACGAGACTTGCACGTTTTGCATTCCCATCGACGCTGCTTCAGATGAACCGTCTTTACGTGCCGACTTAGCACTGATCCGTTGGAAAACCTCGCGCCGCACTTTTCACATTTGATGCGTCCGCACAATCGATGCTCCATCTACAGCGGCAAACCAACGTTGATCCAGAATAGCGTACGTGTCTGTTAGTGCCTTCGCCCGCATGCTGTCCCCTTGAGTTGAATTTCGCACTCCACTACTTACCGCGTTGTGAAGACCCAATGCCTGTGTCGACCGGTAACGAGCTCCGCACTGAATGCAGCAATACTTTTCCAAGTTGTTTCTCCCCGCACCCGTAGTGCTCGCACTGTTGCTTCGTTTGCTGCACTTTCCCTTGCCATCGAAATGGATTCCATGTTGCGTCTGCAAAACGTGAACGGTAAGCGCTCCTTTACTAGAAAACGTGCATTCACACTCGCAGCATCGCCATAGCTTGCTTGTTTTCAACGAGTGCCCACCCTTTGTCAGCGGAGATTGACAGCGTCCTGTCAGAAGCATTGCGTACCGTGCTAGGTCATCTGGTGGAGCCACGGGCCCCTTCCCGTTTGAGATTGCAATTGTTCCGCTTCTGTTGTCGTTGCAAGGATCTTTCATCCACTGAATTGATCTCGTGCTTGCACTTGTCAAAATTAAGGATGCGAGAGCCCTGGGAGGAGCAATCGGTGGTTTCCATTCTGCGCCATCATTCATTATGTCATCCTGGCCTTCTCTCATATCACAAGATGTTTCATTCATGTTCTTCTCAATGCTTCTACTCGTCAAACACCCGCTTGACCAATTTACTGCGAGTACGAGCGGATATTCCCATTTATACCGTCAGTATCACTCAAAAAAACTTTGTTACTTCATACGGTTTCGAACCCTTTCGCCCCACCATTTCAAAGTCACTGCGCTTGTCTCACAACCCACTTGCAGTCTTTGGAACAGCATGTACTTGGTTCGAGTCGATGCTGTTTGTCTCTACTTAAATCATTCGAAAACAAGATTTTTGCAGACCTTGGTGTTGCATCGACCTGTTCCGTACAGATTGGGAGCGGAAATGTCGATTGCCTAGTCGTCTCCTATCCTTGCCGCTTCCCCAACATCCGAGCTCTCTTTAAATCCACCCATTGCATACCACGCTGGAAGTTACCTGAATGTTTCCCATCCATTGTCTGATACGGTGCGAGCCATATCCTTTTGACAAAACTCACATCAAAGGCGACCTCTGTTTGTGCACAGCTTCAACTTGCAGGATCATTCAATAGTCTAGTGAAGTTTTTCGTTACAGAAAAAGCACGCTGTTTCACTGATTGGAGTTTGGCCACACTTCTACTCCTTCCGACAAGCTGCCTCAATTCATTATAGAACTATGAACTTTATGTGGCTCTTGCTTTGCTCTCAGATAGTTAGTCACTCCTTGGTTCGCTGACCATGCGCAAGAGTTAGAAATGTTATACCGCTCAGCTATCGATAAAAGAACCCAGTGGTAATCTGAGATGTGGCCTGGATATTGGTCCGATATAATCCAAGTTGTTTACATGTAGATGAGATGAAGTTTTGATAAAAAACTATTAAAAATTGAGGAGACGCATGTCTGGTAAAGGTTTGAGTTTATGATAGCGGTTCCTTAGAGCAAGTCTATTCGCATGGTTAATTTGCCTGGTTAAATAGCCAAAGTACCCACGGAAAAATAAACACCACTGCGCGCATGTCTATCAGCGGCGGTGGCTACATTTTATTTATATCATATGTCTCAACGTGTAAACTTTTCATTGGGACCCTTTGCGCCCGTACCCGTTGAAGTCAGACTGTACAGCAATGTGAGATGCAGTACAGTACAGTACCTACCACAAAATGCATCGTTGCTCCTGCAAGACGCCCCACCCGCAACATGGAGCACTGCGAGGAATCGTCGTCCTCCGACGACCTGAACGCCCTCATCGATGGCCTCTTCGACGACGGCCACAACGCTGATGCCCTCGAACTGATTGGCTGCGCGGCTGCAGTTGCCAACTGCTCCAGGGAGACAGGGCCAAAGCGTGCAGGAAGAACTAAGGGGTCCCGCAATCTCAATCGGGAACCCTGCACATGGTTCAGCGACTACCTCTCACAGCATCCAGTGTACCCTGCCGCCAAGTTTCGCAACGTCTTTCTCATACCTCTCAAGCTGTACTGGAGGTTGCATGACGAACTGGTACAACAAGACGCGCGGTTTGGCCAGCTACGGGTAGTGTCTGGGAGAACAGGCCACAGTAGCCATCAAAAGATACTCTGCAGCCTACGTCGTCTTGGAAACGGGATGTCATACAATCAGATGGATGATATGGCGCGCATGATCCCGGAGTCACAGAGGCAGTACTTCCCTATATTTCTAGAAGCTGTAGTAAGCCGTTTTGCTCCTACCTTTTTAAACCGTGAACCTACACTCGACGAATTGAGAGGAATCATAGCGAAGTATGAGGGTACAGGATTCGCCGGTTGAATTGGATGTTTGGACTGTATGCATATCAAGTGGAAGAACTGTCATCGTGCATACAAGGGACAATACTACAACCCTAAAGAAGGGAAGCTCGCTACAATCAGTGCAGAGGCATTATGTGACCGTGACCTCTACTGTTGACACTGGTATGCGGGCCGCTGTGGTATCAATAAAGACATCACGGTGCTGGATAACAGCCCGTTGATGAACGACATCCTTTCAAACAAGCGTCTGATGACGCTTCCAGAGGGTTACACGCTCAATAGACAGGTGCGGGCATGGCTGCTGTACATTCTAGTGGACGACATCTACCCAGACTGGGCTATCTTCGTCGGGCCCAATCACGCCCGAACGAACGAGCGCGAGCTGCACATGACGAAGCGTCAGGAAGTGGTGCGTAAGGACATTGAAAGACTATTCGGGTGCTTACAAGGGCGCTTTCGCATTCTGCGGCAGGATCGTCATGAGTGGTCTCATGAGGAGATCATACTCATCAGTAACGTATGCAATATCATTCACAATATGATTGTGAAGATGCAGGTAGACGGCGAGCTGTCCGATGAGGTTGATGAGCACGGGGTTTCGTTTGCAAAACGGGAATTGGTGGAGGAATTCTTCAATTCACCTACTGTAGAGGCAAGCGAAGGGACTATAGAGGGTGGTGTGGAGAGTTCGAGGAAGATACCGACGGGACTAGCTGGGCTTTTACAACGTAATGAGCTAGTCTGTAGTAGAGATGCGCACGGGCAGCTTAACGAGGCGATCAGCGCGCATCTATGGAGTAGGTTTGGATTCGGGCTCGAGTAAAGGATTGTTGCCCTCGCTGCGCGCTTCGCGCGCACCACTTGCATTTGCGCGGCGATTGCAACACGAAAACCCATTACACATCTTCTTCTTCCGTCGCCTCCGCCCCAACCGTCTCTATGGCGTCCTCGGTCGCCCGATTGGGTGCATCGGGACCCATGCCTCCTTCTTGTGGTGTATTCAAGCGAACAGGACAGCCCACCGCGCTGCCAATTCCATCCGCCTCCATCAGGAGCTTGTCCAAACTTCTGTTCATCTCATCCGGCGGTAGCGACATCTTCGACAATATCTTGAACTTGATAGCCACTGCTGCGGCGTGGGCACGAGTTTTGGCACTGCTGCGGATTGCAGCGCTCACGCCTTCAATGGACGCAGAAATCTTGAATGAGCCGGCTTCGATTGCGTCAGCGTACTTCTGCCGCTTCGTTCCTAGGGGGCGGTTTGCTGACGGACCTTGCATGCAGACATTGCCTGCCTGAACGTGCTCATCGGGGAGCACACGGGCCCTGCTCTGGAAGCTAGACGTGTTTAGAAGGCTCGCTTCGCTCTCTCCCTGCTGGCTGTCGTGGTAGCCCGGTGCAGATGAGGAAGAGCCACCTCCGACCCTCTGAGAGAACTTTGGGTGCTCGGAGAGTAGCATCATGGCGTCAAGACATTTGAGCGCCGGCGCGAGACGAGTCTTTCCATCCTTGATTGTCTTGTTCTTCTCGCGGTAGAGCGTCATTACATTGCGGAGCGTGTCGTCTTCTGTCTCCCCGGACGGGGTGTTGGCCCGGTACAGACGGTTTGCAGCGAGGTACGTCTGCGTGGCGCGCTGCAAGAGCGTCCAGCGGCACCGTAGACTAGCCTGCGAGCGGGGGCCGACAACTTTCAGCTGGTTGGAGAAGGCGAGGGCGACGTCAGCCCAAAAGCTTTCGGCGTTCTGGTCGAGCGTGCGGCGAGAGCAGCTCAGCCACGCTTTGGCTAAGGCCAGGTCTTCTTCGGGCGTAAAGTTGTTGCCCTTTCCCGCCATTTAGATGCAAAGGTAGGTGGCAGATAGATTCACGGGGATAGTCCGGAAAGGGCCAAGAGAGAGGAGAGCGTAGTCTAAGGTTGGGGGCGATGAAGGGAGTTGAGATGGTACTGTATTTTCCGTGGGAAGGGTCCACGAACTGCGTGGGGTCATTGCTGTGATTGCCAGTTGGTGGTTTCTTGTTGGTACAAAAAGTAGCATGCCAGTGGCCAAATGAGTAAATCCATATGTATTTCAGCCCACGTTTACATATAAATTTACTCATTTAGCCACCAAATTTGGAGATAACCTCTCGAATAGATACTACCTGTGAAGCTATATTTTCAGAATTACAAATTTACCACGACGAATAGACATGCTCTTATAGCCTCGATTATTTGTTTCAATTTGAAAATTCAGATGAAGTTAATCGAGACGTAAAATAG